ATCCAGATGTCCTGTATTTAACAACTGAGATACTAACTTACATGGATAATCACATGATGTATTACGGGAAACCTAAACACCTAAAGGAGCTACAAGCCAAATCAAATGGATAACTGTGGGCAGCTGGAACTTTTATCCTGTTACTTTCACAAGCTGTACTAGTGATTTCTTACCCTCCATGGGCATCAAGGTGGCCCTTCCTGTAAGATTACTGCGTCTACATTTCAGGATTTTTGTATGGCATGCACGGCCAGGAGGCTTCTACAAGTAACTCAAATTCATAACTTCCCTTCTGGTAGGGGAAATGACACACTGATCCTTCAGTATCTCTCCACTTGCAGGGCATTCTAGAGAAAACTGCTTAGTAATACAAGGCTTAAACAGAGGCTGGTGCTTGCAAGCCACTCATCATGTATGGTGACACAATTACCTATCAGGGACACTGAAAATGGAGGCTTTAAAACCACTTGTTACCTTTCCTGTAATCTGTCCCTGTATGTCAACCCAGGAGCGCTAGCAGGTGTTGTCTTATATCCTATCCACAGTGGAGTCAATTTTGCTTTATTACTATGGCCAGAAAATTGGAATGGCTTAACTTTAGAGGTACAGGGAAAACTTTAAAACACCCAAGGGAAAGGAGAGTGAACTGTTGGGAACAAAAATCCTGGAAAAGGCAAAAACTTGTTGATGGTATTTAAACCGTTAGATTAGGCCATAGCAGTCCTTCTGCCAGTTGCAAATTATAATGAGCTACTTGCACATAGTTGTAAGAGGGGTGCATGCCCTAAGGGGAAGAATCTAGTCAACTGAAGTTTTTATTTCCACAGTCCATCACAGAGCCCTGTATAAACTTGTATTACTATGGGAATGTACATATACATTATTTTTATCTTTCAGATCTTTTGTGTTCATATCTAAAATAAATGACTGAATATCACATCCATAGGTTGCAAGCTTGCAACTTTCAGTAAACTGGTCAGTGTTAATGGAGAAATAATGGCTGTACAAAAGAAGGCACAGGAATAGGGGGGCCCAAGTAGGAAATAAAATATTGGTAATACCTTTCCTTATAAAACAGTGAAGGGAGGATAGGTGGAAGAGATGGGATACCGAAGGACTCATATTGTCTTTTTCCTGGTTGTGGTCAGAGTGGAATACCTCATAGGAAGAAAAACAGTAGGAAATCTTGGTTGGCGGAAGGGTAAACTACCCGTGTTGTGCTTTAAATTGGCCCTCTTACTGCCACATTTTATAGAATATCTGCACAACCTGTGTTGTAATACTGCCATAGCACCCATTTTGGCCTCCAGTCCTTAAAGCAAGTCTTTGCTGCTTTCTGTGCTACAGGGTAGTACCACATAGCTCTACGTTTGCTTGATATACAACAAATATTCAGAATAGATCATGCCACTAACAAAGTTGTTTAATATGCAATCAATGTAATGTGTATAGTAATTCTGTAGTTGTAGAACAGATTTGTGTTGCAATGATTTGTGTATGAAAGATGTAAGCAAAGAGGCTATGAACTGCACAAGCTATGAACAGCCAGTTTCCTGACAGTTCTTTTTGTAGCCGATTCTGGATTCTGAGCCATGTGTGCTCTGCTCAGTTAATCCACGGAAAGGTAATTTGAACACCGCTTTTGTGGATTTGAAAGCAGATGTTGATTCCCTAGCCAACTCTAGGCAAAACTGTAAAGGAAAAATCTTGATTGCCTTATTCTTGACTACAGCTTTTGCAGAGTTCTTTGTGAAAATAAGAGTTGTCACTTCTGTTATATTGTCTGATAGTTATCCTGCAAGTGGGTTTGGGTGCGTATGACAAATAGTGGTAGATATTTGGCCCTATTTAATTCAGATTGTTTCTGACCCTCAAGGCAGGTATATTTTCCTATTTCTGAACAAAATCTAATACATGAGGGTTGCATTAGTCATGGGTTCTGCTGAAATCCTGCAGTCATTTCACGTGATTGTGAAGGAACAGACTGACCAGCCCCCAGGGTCCTAGAAGCTCAAAATATCCCCATAGCCATCCCAAGTGTCTGCTCAGCAATGCTGCCACTTTCCCTTACTTTCAGAGGGTACCAGACATCACTGAGAAATAGCTGCGGCTACTAACAATTCTGAGACTATCTGCTACTAGACATCATTGTATATTTAGTGCATTGCTGTTTAAAGTTCTGCCCTGCTGCTGTCTCTCTTGCTAGCTAGCATAGGGATGATTTTTAGCACTTTTAGGGCGTGTGAGCTCAACTACTGCCCCTCCCCTTTACTGCTCTTTGGGAGCACAACCCAAATAGGCAGGGTGCGTTTACAGACTACAGGCGTCAGGCAGTCAAAATATAAGTTTAATAAAAATGTATATATGGTCTGTTCAAGCATCAGGCTGAGCTAGTGGAAAATGAAAATAAATTTCAAAAAAAAAAGCATCAGGCTGAGCAAGGAAAAAGAGAAATAATGAAAACACATAATCCTTTTACCCGGTATTTTATACTTACCTCATACGCTGGTTAATTAGAATAGATTGGGGATCTTGAAGCAGCAGTACTTAAAAGTCCATCACTGCCATATGTCTCAGAGTCGGGGTCAAGATGGAATCCCTAGGTAAAGGCACAGTCCTCCATGTTTTGTGCCCGTCTAAGAAAGACAGTCAAGGAGAAAAGAGCATTTTGCTCATGTCCCGACAATTTATAACTTCCCCTTGGGAGACTGTCCTCTCTGAGGTCAGTTCTGATCCTCAAGAGAAAAGAATTACTGTAGCCTTTTGGCTTTTCAGGGGGCCGTGGTGGCTCAGAGGTTAAGATGCAGCTTGGCAGTTCGAGACCCTAGTGCCGTCTGGCAGAGTGAGCTCCCATCTCTGGCCCCAGCTCCTGCCAACCTAGCAGTTTGAAAGCAAGAAATTGCAAGTAGATAATAGGTACCGCTTTGGTGGGAAGGTAACAGTGTTCCATGCACCTTGGCGTTTAGGCACGCCGGCCACATGACCATGGAGAAGTCTTTGGACAGCGCTGACTCTTCGGCTTGGAAACGGAGATGAGCACTGCCCCCTGGAGTCGGATTTGACTGGCTTTCAAGCAAGGGAAACCTTTACTTTTTTGGCTTTTCAAGTCTCTATCCCTTTAGGTGTGACACTCTAGCAAGGTGTGAGATGGTAGACTTTTTGTTCTTCAGCCATAATTAAGCTCTGGAGTGCTTTGCTCTTGGGACAGAGATAACTTGACTCCTGTAGTTAGTCTTTTACCAGCATTGCAGCCTCTGGGGCATGGGTAGAGTGTAACCCCAGTTAATGGAATACTGAGGTGCAGTCAAGGGTGCAAGGCATTTCCCCACATCATTCGTTATATAGCCAAAACTTTTTCTAAAAGATTACTACCCTGGGAAATAATAACGGAAAGTGACAGCAAATCGCAGCTGACTTATGGCAACCCAATAATTCAAGCCAAGAGCCATTTAGAGGTGGTTTGCCTTTGCCTGCCTCTGCATAGCAACCCTGGACGTCCTTGATGGTCTCCCATCCAAATACTATCCAGGGCCAACCCTGCTTATCTTCTGAGACTGTTAGCATGGGCCATCCAGATCAGAGCCCAGAAGATAATGAGTGTAGAAAATTCTGAAAATTTGCATGCACACAAAAGCTTATACCCAGAATAAATCTTTGTTGGTCTTAAAGGTGCCACTAGACTTGGTTCTGTTTCAGGTAAAGTACTTAATTTTATGGTAATATAAATGAGTGCGTACTTCATGGAAAGTATTACATTTTCAGAGGGGTCTAGTCATGGCCCCAATGACAGAATTTTTCAAAATATTGGTTGTAGATATATTTCAGCATGGATAATGGCTGTGAAGAAAATTTGACAAAATCCTTGACTATGATGAAATGCTCCCAAAGGGAAGCTCAGTCATTATTTACATAACTACATCCTATTTTTCCATGTAAAACTGAGGTGTTCCTGAGCATCTTTGCATTAAAGCAAAAGAGGTTGGTTTGGGTAGGAAATCTACTTATTGATAAATTAAAAGCTCGGGTTTATTACTGCTTGGAATGCCCATAGTCCGGCTACTTCACTAGAAGCTGAGCAGTGTGCCCATAATGTACTTCAGCCATGGAAAAGGACACATTCTTCTTCCATTCATTATAACTGAAGTCAGTGTTTATTCTTCAGTCTTGTATGGAACTACTGGGAGACATTATGAGGCTCAACCTTATATCTGTTGTAAGCCAAGTTCTGCAAACAATCACTGTTGTGTCTGTTGAAACACATAAGCAGTAGAGCTTATTTGTGGTTCAAGATTCAAGCCATAGAAAATGAGAGATTATTTCTTGAAACAAAGAAGAGGATAAGAGATTGGATTTATACCCTGCCCTTCACTCGGAGTCTCAGGGTGGCTTACAAACTCCTTTCCCTTCCCCTCCCCACAACAGACACCCTGTGAGGTACGTGGGGCTGAGAGAGCTCTTTCAAGAACTGCCCTTTCAAGGACAGCTTTTGTCAGAACTATGGCTTGCCAAGGTCATCCAGCAGCTGCAAGTGGAGGAAGTGGGGAATCAAACCCAATTCTCCCAGATCAGAGTCCATGCACTTAACTTCACCAAACTTGCTCTCCTACACCAAAGTTGAGCAGTCATTAAATAGTTCCATAAACAGGGAGAATCTTGGCTAGTCTCCATGTTCAGTGTTCTAATTTTCCTTCAGCATATTTCTGTACTTCTGTGTCGTCAACTGTCAAAGTAAGGTGTGAAGCAACATTGAGGGATGCTTTTATACTGCAAGATCTGTGTTGCCAAACTTAAATACCACCTCTTGATAGCTCATATGTCTAAATCAGTGTTCCCTCTAAGCTGAGTTAGTGTGAGCTAGCTCACAGTTTTTTAGCCTCCAGCTCACATATTTTTGTCTTAGCTCAGGAAGGATGACTCCAGAACAAACCAATTTATGCAGCAGCCAAGTCGCTCGCTCACAGGTTTAATGCCAGTGGCTCACAACATTGGATTTTTGCTCATGAGACTTCACAGCTAAGAGGGAGCATTGGTCTAAATTAGACCATAGTTACAGATGCTAGCTGCTGGCTCACAGAATTCTTCCAAAACAGGAGAACTTTTACCTAGGACTGGTGTCATGGATGAAGACTACAGGCCCATAAGCAAGGTCTGGGGTGCAGCTGCTGATTACATTCCAAGGGATACAAGTGTTAAAGTCTTTACTCCCACATTTTCATTTTGGGGCAAATGTGGAAGAAAATTTAATTCTTGCATACATGGAGAGGTCAGTCCCTGAGGGTGATCTCTCGTGCACTTGCAGTAGAAAATTCTATATGGACATGCATATGAATATCTAATAATGTCAGTTATCTGTTTGTTTGACCTTTGGTTAATAAATGTATTGCAACAAACATTCAAAATAGTTTTCAAAGCCTTTTGACCTGCTCCTCCTCCCCACAACTAGAAGGGTCCACCATGTCTTACACATGGCGGTGTCTGAGGCCAGAAGCACCAGGGTGACCTCTTTTCTAGCTTGGTGTTTGAACTGCCTCCTATCACCACCTTATAAAACCATTGTCAGGTTAAATACCTACTATTCAGCCAAGGCAACTAAGATCTCCATCATAATATTCAGATCCTACTTTATCACTGAAGTTTCTTTATTCTTGAAAGTAGTATCCATGTGAATCAAGAGGTGAGTACTGAATACAAAATTTATAAAAAAGAGCCCCGTTACAGTCTTCCAATTACATTTTGGAGTTATTTCAGGCATCTGAAGGAGACTTAACAGTCACTTGCCAATGAATTTTGGTGGTCGTTTCTCTATGAAAGCAGCCATCCCTTCCTGCCGGTCTTTCGTAGGGATATTCTGTATTGAAAAATTACATTGGTTAACACTTAAAGGAAGTCACATTAAGTACAAAAGTACATTCTGCATTAATTATTTTTGAATAAGATAAGCCAATATTAGATCAGGCCAATGGCCCATCCAGTCCAACACTCACACATTGGCCAAAAATACCAGGTGCCATCAGGAGGTCCCCCCCACCAAAAAAAACTGGCAGCTTACCAGGGTGTAACATATTCCTTCAATAGCCATCCCAGAAGCAATATCAACCTGCAAAAGGAAATCTTATTTGTATGTATAGAAGATGAAGATTTTCTAATTATTAACCTTTTGTATTCTTTTAGCTACAACTTCAGTAGTAATGTACTAACATGTTAAACTGGATGAGACAACAATCTAGTCTTCACTGCTGTCCCCTAGATGAACAAAGGGTTGCATCCAAAATTTCTGTTCTGCCAGTAGTAGAGTCCTCCACCTTTAGCAGTATGGAACCTTTGGTTTCAACCCAAAGAGTTTTGGAATGCCTTCAAGACGCTTTTACTGCAGTGCAACATTTCCTATGTTTCAGCCTAGGAGGTCAGATACTTACAGAAACTTGATAAAATGCTAAAACAAATGTGGTACTCTTGGGACACTTAAGCGTGTGCAACAGTAGATGAACAGAGCTACCTCTCTAGAATCTGTATGTAAAATACATCTATATGATTCAGTTTTTACTTCAAAGCCTCTAAAGATGGTAATTCCATAACCTCCCTCAATAACTTTGGTTACTCTACTGATGTTGTTTTACAGTTCCCATGTCTGGAACCTAGGTGGGGGTGGGAGGAGGAGAACTATTAAGAATATATGTGCACACAGCCACATTTATGCTGAAAATTGCTTTTCTAAAGCTGCTTTGCTTAAAAACAGCAGCTACTGGTTTAATTATGTGCTTGTGTGAGTTGACATGATCTGTGCAGGACTGGGCCTAGTGAGGCCTAAGAGACCTGCCTGGGAGTGGGAAGCAGACAGCCTACAATCCCCACAAGGCTTTGCACCAGCTGTAACCAATGGGGGTCCAGGAATTCTCTGAGGAGATTGTTTATATACTTGGTGGTCGGTTAAACTGTGTTCTTTTCCTCTCTGCGGTCTTTGCCTCTCACAGAGCTAAGCTGAGGAGACTGGTCTGGAAGAAAGATCCCTCACTGGGGACAGTGAGTACAGGCAGAAGCCTGGCATAAGAGAGCTGTAGGGCTTGAGTAGTAACAGTTAGGGTTGCCAAGTCTGGTTTGGAAAATACCTGGAGACTTTGGGGGTGGAGCCAGGAGAGGGCGGGGTTTGGGGAGGGGAAGGGCCTCAGCACAGTACAATGTCATTGAGTTCACCCTCCAAAGCAGCCATTTTCTCCAGGGGAGCTGATTTCTTTTGGCTGGGGATCAGTTGTAAAAGCGGGAGATCCCCAGGCCCCACCTGGAGGCTGGCAACCCTAGTAACAGTTAAGGAGCAAAAGGTAGCTACATTAGCTTTGTGTTTCTTTTGGCATTTAAACACTGTTATGTATTTTAAAGCATCTTGTCTTGTTTTTCCCCTGCCCAGTACTGTAATAATAAACCCTTTTTGTGTAATTGTTTCTCTGCCTGGTCATCACGCTCATGTTTTCTCGGCTACGAAGGGGCAATTTGAAGGGGCTTGGGAAGGTACCCTGGGCCTTCTCAAGCGACCTAAGTCCAGGGTGGTGGCGGCAGAAGGTGGCCACATGCTGGGGTCATGACATGAGTATAATGTGTAGTGTATGTCTCTGGTTTGCTGAAGATGTTCATAAAAAGCCTTACTATAAAGTCATTACCTCAGTTCCTCTGTTTATAGCCACTTTACTCATTTTCACTGCTATTGGAGCCTTTTAATAGAAAAAAACAGGGATTTGTGAGTAATAATATACCAATGAGGATATTCATAATTGCTGAAAATAATTGCCTGCCTTAGGATGAATAAAAGGCAGTTCCTGTTCACAACACAGCTGAATTGCAATATAGGTGATAGCCTCTGATTTCCTTTAAATGAGGATTAGACAAGTTCTGGGAAGGTTTAGTTTTTCAGTGCATAACACAGAGTGGGCCTTCGAAGTTCATTTGGCATACCACTATTGGGGAAAGTGTTGGATTATATGTGGACCTTTGATCTAGTATGCTGAGCTCTATAAAGGAAGGGAAAAAGTAGACTGGTTCATGCTCCTATAGGAACTTAGATTTGTTTTAGTTTGTATCACTGCCCATTGGAGTTAGGAGCCCCAGATGGAACAATATCATCATTGGTCATGGTTCCTTATCAGATTTCATTGACCAAAAAAGTAACATGTAGTAGTCAGAATGTTTGCAAGGGTCAGGAAGATCTGGGTTCTAATAACCGCTCAGCCATGAAGTTCACTAGGTAACCTTGGGCCTATCACTATCTGGGTTGTTAAAAAGTACATACCCTCAAAGAACTTACACTATAAATTTTTTTAAAAATCATTATCTAAAATATGAACATTAATGGTAGGGTGTAACTGGGTATGATTTATTTTTAATACAACATTTGGGTTGTCCTGACATTCTTTAGAAAAATAGTTTTGGTGCAGTGAACATCCATTATTCTGAGAGTGCGGAAAATTATTCTGCAGATGATACCAGTCAAGTGATGATATTACACTGACCCGAGGAACAATCTCTTCAGCTAAAGCCAATGCTCTTTGATAAGCTGCATCGCCCTCTTCATTCTCTAGCACTGCATGATTAACTAGCCCAATTGAGTAGGCTTCTTGTCCATCAATCTGTCTGCCAGTGAAAATAAGTTCTTTAGCACGGCCTACTCCAATGCATCGTGGTAGACGTTGGGATCCACCTAGGCAAAAAACAAAAAACACTAGCAAAATGTTATAACACAGATTTTGGGAAGCAAATTCTCCACTGTGGTTCTGTATACTCAGGGGTCATTTGGGGCCAGAGCGCATTGGAGCACCGCTCCAGCAGCCCAGGAGCTGGCACAAATGGCGGTGGCGGCAAGTCCCACCCCCCGGCTCCCCATGCTGCAGCCCGGGGGAGGCCTGAAGAGGCCCATCGCCGGCCTCCTGAGGCCCATGCTTGAGCACTGCGGCCTGGGGGAGGCCTGAGGAGGCTCATCACTGGCTTCCTGGGGCCTGCGCTGGAGCGCTCGGCCCAGGGGAGGCCTTGATTGCGGTGAGGAATCTGCGGGGTTGGAGGTGGTGGGGGCTTGATAGGGGGGTGGGAGAGCATTCCTCCCTCTCCCCATCTCTTTGCCCTCTTTCTCTCCTTTACTTACATCCCTCT